TTACAAATTGATTGATGGCAATAAAGTTCTGGAAAAAGTCATTGTCTTTTGTTTTGATGATATTTTGCGATTTAATTTTGCACAAAAACACAAATAACACTTGCCAGGGAATACGTCACTGTAGGAGAGAAGGTGCAAATGTCTTATCTTGATGATTTACTTTCACACAAAAAAAAATTAAAGATAAACACAATTACCTAATGCAGAGACGTACGCAGGGTGGGGACACTTCCAGACCCCTAAAGAAATTCTTACATTTTTTTTTAATTTTATATTTTTAAATATTATAAATTTTAAATATGATATATTTAAAAAAATATTTTTTGCCGGATAAGCCTAGTGAAATGTTTTCACATACATGTAGACACAAGCGACTTCTAGACATAACGGAAATGCAATAATAGTTTTAAATATTACCTTGATGGCACAATAACTCTCGAAGGGAGTTTCCGATACAGTCCAAACTTGGAACATCACAATATTATTATCAAACTTAGATCGAGTTCGGAGATAGGCAAAATCGGTCCACTCCTTCTAGTACCTCCCACGCAAAAGGTCGAAATATTCAAAAAAAAAAAACACTCCTTCTGCTATATCACCCACAAAGGGTCAGCATGAAGCTCATAAAACGCGAAATTAACATCCGATTCCATTCAGACTTGGTACTTCTTAATATTTTCATCAAAACAAGATCAGTCATAAAGATGGTAGAGATTGGGCTATTCCTTCTGGTACCTCCCCCACAAAGGATCACAGTTTAGAATAACCAAAACGATTATAAAATCCGAAATAAGCCTTCGGTTCTCTACATATTTCACATATCCCATTATTTCTACTAACACAGCATCTGCTGTGAAGATGACATATATCTGCGAACCCTTTCTGGTACCTCACCCACAAAGGGTCACAATTTGCAATTCTTTTGTTTGTCTTAACTTACGAAACAAGTCAGCGATTCTTACAAATTGCTATATTCAAATATTTCTCTCAACCAGAAACCTTAAATGAATATGGAATTTATGATTTCGCATAAAATTGGATAATAATGTTTGTCGCAATATTTACATCATATTTATTAAGGTCCGATACGAAATGGACAGTATTGGCCCATAGAAGGTCAACAATTTGCAGTCAAAATGTATTTAACTAATGGCGCTTCGTTACTCCTTTCGTTTTATATGGCTAAGGGTATACATATGTCGGCAAAACCGACTGATACTCTTTAACTTGTTAATTTGGGGAAAAGCTATTTTGCTGGGTTGTACTGAATGTCGTTCGATAAATGTTTACAATATCCGTACGTGCGAGAGATAAATCCTCTCACTACAAGTTACTGTGTAATTGTTACTGGAAAACTGAGAGAGTTGTAAGTGTTATTATTTTCTGGTCGTCGTAGCGCCATAAACGGTCGATCAATGTCAATCATAGGTGGAATTATGAAATAGGCAAACAAACGAATTAGAAAGACCTCTTCAGCAATTAAACATTTGTTTTTCTATTTTTTTTTTTTTTATTTACACTTGTTGTTATTGTTAGGCACATTGTGACCATTGTCACAATTTTTTATTTAACTTTGTTTTGGCACTGACTCATGGCGTAACCAACCAATTTATGGAATACTTCATCAACAGATGGTTGTTTTTAGTAGCGGGGGGTTTTATTTACTATTTTCGTTATATCTTCTTATCTCTCCAGTATAAGTAAAAAGTATACAAAATCACAAACTTTTTGGATTTAATCGAAGCTCGCAAACTGAGTTGTGAAAAGTTAGAATTTCATTCGAAATGTTATTATCAAATTAAAAAGTATCAGTCGGTTTTGCTCACAGATGTATACCCTCGGCCAATGTTCGAGTATCTAAATATATTATGAGATCTGTTACGATTATTCAACTTGTTAAAATCAAAAGGAACAATATTTCCATTTCGTATCGGATCTAAATAAATATGATATAAATATTGCGACGTGCCAGGTTTAGACTATATTAGTTACTTCCTTCATTTTATGTGAGATATGTGATAATTTTTGGAAAATGTGCGTGAGCTACCAGATATAGTCGACCGAAGTTTCCATTTTCATACTTCATCTAATACAGATAAAAATATTGATATGGGCAAAATTACAAGAAAATCGAATATTTATATCCAATTTTATGGAAAACCATAAATGTCATATTCAGACTCAGATTTCTGGTTAAGAGATATGCTTAGATATAGCAAATTGTAAATAATCGCTGACTTGTTTTGGAAGTTATGACATATGAATGAATTTAAAATCGTCACCCTTTGTGGGTGAGGTACCAGAAGGGGTTCGCAGATATATATGTTTTTATGTGTGAAATTTGAGGAAAGTTGAATGCATATTTCTATCAGCGTTTTGTTTTTCAAAATCTTGAACCCTATGTGGGGCAGGTAGCAAAAGAAATGGTCCGATCTCTACCATCTTTATAACAAATGTTGTGTGTTGATGGAAAAAATTGAGATGTACCAAGTCTGGAATGGAATCAGATGTTAATTTCGCATTTTATGAGCTTCATAGATATTCAAAATTTTTAACCTTTGTCAGGGAGGTACCAGAAGGAGTGGAGCGATATATCCTATGTTCATAACAGATCTTGCGTTAGTAGAAATAATGGGATGTGTGAAATATGTAGAGAGCCTGATGCTTATTTCAAGTTTTATGACCTTCATGGATATTCAAAATTTGGACCCTTCGTAGTGGAGGTACCAGAGGAAATGGTCCGATCTCTAGCGTTTTTATAACAGATCCTGTGTTTATGGAAATATTCAGATGTACCTAATTTAAATGGAATCGGATATTAATTTCGCGTTTTATGAGCTTAATGGATATTCAAAATTTCGACCTTTTGGTGGGGGAAGTACCAGAAGGAGTGGACCGATATATTCCGTCTTAAATCCAGACCTTGGGTTAATAAAAATATTGGGTTGCGTGAAATTTGAAGAAAATCGGACTCTTAAATCACATTTTATAAGAATTGTAATTATTCAAAATTTCGACCCTTGGTGTGGGAGGTACTTGATGGAGTGGACCGGTAATTTTCATAAAAAAGAAAATAGAAATCTCTATTTTCATTATACATACACAATTATTTGCACTAATGCCCCCCGTTTTATGCAAAATGTATCAGAATAAGGAATATTCTACAAAAAAATCACTTAAATTTTTAGAATAAACTATTTAGGAGAACATTGATACAAATCATTTTGAATATATAATGAAAATTCTTTGGTGACTTATAGTAAAAATTGATAAAGAATGTATTTGCCTTTGACTTCATCCTTCTAAAATTATGCTTTTTGGTTATTTTTGTACGAATTCTCACAAAGTACGACTTCAACTCTGTTTTTAGTATACGAATTCCATGACAAATATTTTTTTTAAGATAGTTTGCTACGATCCGTGTTATCGACCCATTCCTTCTAATACCTAAAAATATATATAATGGGTGACCTATATTTATCAAACTTGCCAAATCGAAATATTTTTGGCTTCATTAGAGCAACTGTGAAAACAGAATATATGAGTCAACTCTAGTACCTCTCCTCCACAATCGAATTTGTAAAAAAAGGATAATGAAGGGAGTTCTCGATATAGTTCAAACTTAGCATATCGTAATATTCACATCAGACTATATTCACATATGTCAAAAGCGAATTTGTAAAATATTTGTCCACTGGATTTTTTCCCTTCCTCGAAAAGTTTTCAGTTTGAACACCAATAACATTCAGAAAATATGATAGTAATCTTATCTTATCCCAATATTTTGGCAAGTTTAAGAAGGGGAAATAGCGGTAATCTTTTTGTAGTAACTTCACCAAAAAAGTTCCTAGTCCAATCGGGAGGTACGGTAATATGGGAGCTATAGGAAAACAAAAACCTATAGAAACCATGTTCTGCTACAGGAATTAGAACCCACTTACGATACCCAATATCGGCAGGTACCGGTATATGGACTATTTTTGATTTCAGCAGACCAACGAACATTTATTAATCGACTTAGAATTTTATTATTATCACGAATATATATAACTTATGGGTTATGAGTAACAAGCCGAATGACAAATTGAATATACAATCCTTTCATTATGTAGGGTATAATGAATATACATATCTCTTGTACCATTCCTTGTCCATTTTATTTAAAAACTACAATTATATTTTTCCATCCCTGATGTCGGCCTTCCTAAGGTGTCAAATGCTGCACCATATTTCCTCCCACTCTGTCAATTTATTTTGAATTTTAATTTATTTGTTGCCGTTGCAGCGACACTTTGACATTAAAACTAATGGGAATGCTAGATATAGATGGTATACGACTTTCTTGTGTACAGTACAAAAACTTTTCCGGGCATTTAATATTTCTTACCATTTTGGAAGATATTTCTATTATATTATTATATAAGGTATAACTGAAAAAAAGGAAATTGACTCTATTTTAAAGTTATAACATAAAACCACATTGCATCTTCGTTGACATTTATTCTAAGTTAAGAAATATTATGATATTTTCCATCGCCTCTCTCTTGCCCTTAATGCTTAATGTAGAGTGAATTTGTTGTTACATCAAACGCTTACAAAAATAAAATGAAAATTCTAAAAATACCTACTTCCTCCCGCTCCAGAGAGGCAACGAGAAGCAAAGGCAGAAGAAAATCACAACGCACAACCACATTCATTTCAGCACCATCCAGTCGGTCGGTGTTCCGTTCACACTCCCTTCATTCATTGATCATTATCATTCCGCGCTGCTTTCATCTGCAATCTCGCCAGCAATGATGGACGTTTTGTTTCTATTCTGTGAACCTTTCAAGTTAAGTAAGGCCATCACCCGATTTCGACAATGTTAATCATTCACTCATTCATTCATCGTTACTCTCTTCTCTTTGTGTGTGTGTGTGTGTGTGTGTGTGTGTGTTTTTTTTATCGGTTTGTTTTAACTAATCATTTGCCAACGTTATTCCACCTTCGTTCAATTCCAGGTCAAATGCTCATGAAATGGTTCATATCCTCGTTACAGAACGGCAACGGCAATGGCCATCTCAGCGAACAGGACATCAACACGCTGACACTGCAGTACTGCAACAATTTAATCAATGTGGGCGTGCTCAAGCAAATATCGGAGCGGCGGGATGCCGATTTGGATGCGTTCAGCGTAAGTGTTTAAATGCAATATGTTTGTACTTTGTGATGCAACAGCCAACATTGTTGTTGGGTGGGTTAGAGAGGGCGCGTGGGCGGGTGGTTGGTGTAATGTAATTAAATGTCAACATTAAATGCGATGCACACCACCACCACCAGTTTACTGCCAAGCAGTTAAGTTAAGCTTGGCGCTGCAGCATATTTCGAATTCAAAATGAAGTGTAAAATAGAACATAAAAAGCGGACGTTAATTTTGATACATTAACAGTCCGGGTTTAATGTTTATAATGGAGTATTAACTTTTTTGAGATGTTCCCGGGAAATAATATCGGCACATTGCATCTTTGAGGGTTGCATGAAAAGTGAAAAGTTAAAAGAAACGTTAAAAGGGGTTTTGAAACTACTTAAAATTGTTTAAAGAAATCGGAAATGAAAAATGTGGATTCAATCAACATTTGTAAAGATTTTGACCCATTTAATATCAACTTTACCGTGGTGAACACTAAAAAATCCACTGGTTTCTTGGAATACTCAGCTGCTGATGTTTATTTCTTCTTGGGTTTTGTTCACGATCTCCCTCCCTAGTTTACAGCAGTATCAAAATACGAACACGTTCACTAAAATATTCATGGAGGGTATATTAACTTCGTCATTATGTTTGTTACTCCTCGAAATACTTATGTCGGACCCACCAAAGTATATGTATTCATGATCAGCGTAAAATTCTAGGTCAATTTAGCGATGTCCGTATGTCTGTTGTAATCACGCTAGAGTCAAAACGAATAAAAATAGGAGCTACAATTTTACACAGATCAGCCTTTGGTTCGAAGTTCGAAGATGGCCCACGATATCATATAGCCCCCACATAACGGTACCCCCCAATATTCGGTATTTTAATGATTGTAGCCATTTTTTCGGTGAAATTGTCTGAAAATCCACACAAGAAGTTCCTTGTGAGTACTTTATCCCCTGGAAAAGTATTGTCTATATAGGTCAACGATATCGTATATCCCCAATATAACGGTATCTCCCTATATTCGTTATTTTTATGATTTTAGGTACAACATTTACCGAAATTGTTTGAAATTTCGGTGTTGAAGTCCAGGTCCAGGTCTTCGTATAGCCCCAGTATATCGGTACCTCCCTATATTCGGTATTTTGACGATTGTAGGTACCTTATTCACCGGATTTTTTCAAGTTTCGTCTTCGTATGGACCCCAATATGACGGCTATCTTAGGGATTTTTTAAGATTTTAAAATAATTCTTAATGGATTTTATTTTTTTTTTTTTGAAAATGTATTTATTTTTTTTCTAATTTGTTCAAAATATTGGAGGGCACTCAAAGTTCGGCCCGGTATTCAAAGCTCGATTTCACTCTTATTGTATACTCCCAATCTATTTCGCTCTATATATCACAGAGAAGTTCCCCGAGCTCTCCCACATAATACAAAAGGGAGGAAAGTAAACTTCTTGCAAAACTGGTACTCCCACTACCGAGTATTTTTACTCGCGTGTCGAGCTATCGGAGCTTGGTTTAGAACCCGGCGTTCTCTAACCCAAATACCGGCATTAACTAATATTATCAATTTTAAAATTTAAGCTTAAATGTTCTTTAAATTCCCTGTCTTTATTTCGACTACCAGCAATACACATGCCAAATTTCATAGTTCTTACATTACGCGTTTGCAAAACTCCGTGACGCAGTATCTGCTAAATGTTAGTATTTTTTGTCCGATTTTAGTTTGAATTTCTACAAAACCTGTTTTATATCACCCCTTCGAATCAACGATGATATACATACAAAATATCAAGGATTTAGCTCGAGCAGCTTCGTCGGGGCGCTGATGTCAGTCACTCATTCATCGCTAAGCCCATGTATAACAGAGCACAGATTCGCTTGTTTTCACTCGAGAATGCAACTTGTTCGGGAAAGGGGTTGTTCGATGAGTGGGAGACTTATACGGAGTTTACCATTCACACTTTTGTTTTTTGTTGGTGCGCTCCTGAGCCACTCCTGTTTAAAAAATTAAAGTAGGATCTGAATCGCTCGAAATGAAGTGAAACACATCTGCCACAGGTTGTCATTACAAAATATTCTTAAATATCAAGCATTGTGGTTAAATAACCCCTAAAATGCCCTCAATATAATTTTTTTATCATACATATTAAAACATATTTGCAATTGAGATAATTTCCCATTTTTAGCCTTTTAGATGACAGTATTAGCCATCTTCCAATATTTATACATAAGCCCATATTGTAAACTTATAAGACCCCATCGAATGTCCAAAGATATCATTATTATTGCTGTTTTCAAAATTTTATGTCGAGTGCATTTAAAAATTTCCAACATTATTCCATCAATAAAAAATTCTCTTTCGACATTTGAGTTTTCCTGCTTTTCGTCTTCTGTCTCTGCTTCGTTTTCTTTTTATTGTCAGCAATTTGAAATGCTTCCCTTTTAATTTCCTTTTCAAATTGATTTTCATGGCGCAGAAAAAAAACTGAAAAGAAAAATCGAAATCTTTTATACGCTGCGTTTAACAAAACAAAAAGAATGACACTTCTCCATCCCCATGGCCAGAGGCAATGGACGAACTGCATTATGAACTGACGCTCTGCGCCATCCAAAACAAGCAAGGATGCACATAAGGCCAGTTACACAAAATGCGCGTTCATAGCTGTTTGCGTTGTTTGTTTTCCTTTTTTTCTTGGCTACCAATTGTCAGTTGGTCGGTCGTGTAGCTTAATTTTGTTGCTGTTTTTTTTTCAACTGATTCTCTGGAAAGGATTGCAACACAATCGAGTGGCGGACGAGCGACGAGAGCTAAATATGTTTCATCAAACGGAAATTATGCAATAACCGACTAAAGGATGCGGACAAACCGGAAATGAATTGTACGAGTTCGTGGAGATTTAAAATGACTGTGTCATTAGCCAAGAAACTGGGAGTCTATGTCCGTATCAAAACGATCAGTCACTGCTGCCTTTGTAAAGTGTATCCGTCTGTCGGTTTGTCGTTGTGACAGCACTGGTTGGATGTGAGTGAGTGAGTGATGGTGAACAAAACAAGGCAAAGAAAAGCAAACGCAATGAAAGCAGTTATAAATGTTTGTAATTCAATTTTATTCGTTTTCCCCAGCATTTCCCGTAATGATGTTTCAAAGGACATCATTTTAAGGATTCGAAGTCAATTTCAAATAGTTATAAATTGTTTTTTTGTAAATCTTTCTAGCATTATAGGCCATTAAGGAAATCTCCGTTCCTCGAAAGATTTATTTTAAAGATGGCATTAATGCTTCGGGCCATAATTGTGGCGAAATATAAAATCAATCCAAAGTCTTTGGATAAAATCAATTCGTGGAAATGGAGATAGTAGAGTTGGGCAGGGTAGTTGTTAATACTTATAATGAGTGGAGCTAAGCGGACATTTTTGTTTATTTGAACATGATTCCCGTATATCTATTTATGTTCATCAACATAAAGAGGGAAATTAAAAAATAATTTTGTAGATCTGAAATATTTCTGTAGGTAACTGAATTGTTTTTTTTTTTGGAGTCCGCCAATTTTATATTTTTTTATACTTCGTTTACTTGCATTTGCTTCTCAGATTGTTTCTATGGTTTTGGCAATTTTTCCATTAAAGGTTTATGTTTTAGGCCCCTTTGTCTTTGATCAAGTTTCTATTTATACAGGGCCATAAAATGAAACGTTAGTCTGTGAATTCAAATGCAAATCTATTCAAGAATTGGTCACACCTGATACCAAATCGGTACTTAGACATGTGGGCTTCTCCGAAATATATATTTATATTGAATATATTCTCTAAGAAGTTTTTTATCCCCAAGGAAAGTATAAGACACAGCCAAATCGATTGAAACCCAATGAATCGATTTGAAACATGTGGCGACAATCTTTAAAAAAAAAAAACTAATGTCAGGAGGAACATCTACATGGGCGCTACTCTAAAAATAGACCTTGATTTGAAATTCACAGCAAAGGGGTATAATACGCCTTGAAAGAGGTATTATACAGCAGCCATAACAAAAAATGAACCGATATGATCCAATGTTGGCCTTTTGGGATTTTGATCTGCTAACCAATTACTATGAAATCCACTTGAAATTTCCGGCAACTTAGATTCGCCGTTGCACAAAATTATTATAAGAAAATTTGCAAATTGCCGAGAGTGATACCATCCTCATAGAAAGGGAAAGGATTTGCAAATGCTAATGATTGTATAGTTTTTGCAATAATAAAAAAAGTTTTAATAACTTTTTATTAAATTTCATTAATTTGTAGTTTTATTAAAACCATGCTTTTTTGCCAGTAGTCGGCACCACTTGCCAATAGTCGGTATGGCATTTTCCAACAGTCGGCATACCAATTTTTTTGTAAGAATAATTAATAATATTAATAATTTAATTCATTAAAATATAATATTTTGTTTAGTTAAACTGATTCGACGTCTTTATTGTACTTTTCTTAAGAATATGGATTGTTGAGGACCTTCACAGACAAAAATTTAATTTTTGTTAGAATAATTCATCTTTTCTTAGCAAAATTGTGCACAAAGATAGCAGACAATATATTTGAAGTAAACAAAATGCATTTAGTTATAATAGTTTCATTTATTTGGGCTTAAAAATAAAAAGTGCCGACTACTGGGACATGCCGAACTTAGGCACACTTACCCTATATTGTAGCGGACACACCATTATTATTTATATATTTATGTGTTATTTAATTTTATATCATGATTTGTTTGCATTATTATTATTATTATTATAACATCAATTATTTTACATTAACTTGAACTGTAATTTTGCTCGAGTGTTCAGATAATTAATTTTGTTATATGCCAAGAATAAGAGAATATGTTGTTTTGTGTTAAGTAACTGCATTTCGTTTATGATTATTGAGTGATGCTCTAATTGTTCTCTAGTGCTCTCGCATAAGTTCAATGAAATGAGTTTATTTTGACATTATTGTAAAATACCTATGGGAGATTG